CCCCTCTTCCTCCCCCTCCTCCTCTCCTCCTCAATCCTCCTCCTTCCTCCTCTTCCCCTCCTTCCTCCTCCTCCTCCTCCTCCTCCTCCTCCTCCTCCTCCTCCTCCTCCTCCTCCTACCTCCTCCTCATCTCCCTCTTCTCCCCCTCCTCCTCCTCCTCTCTTCCCCTCATCCTCCTCCTTTTCCTCCTCCGCTTCCTCCTCCTCCTTCTCCTCCTCCTCCTCCGCTTCCTCCTCCTCCTCCTCCTCCTCCTCCTCCTCCTTCCTCCTCCTCCTCCTCCTCCATCCTCCTCCTCCTCCTCCTCCTCCTCCTCCTCCTCCTCCTCCTCCTCCTCCTCCTCCTCCTCCCCCTCCTGGGGGGGCCGACCCTCGGTCTCCGCGGGCTGGCCCTCCTCGGGCGGTGCCGGGGCAGGGGGGCGAGGCGCGCCAGAGCGTTCTGGGGAAGGCTCTCGAGCGCCCGGGTGAGCTCTGCTCGGCATCGCTCGGGCGTGTGCGTTCTTTTGTTTCCTCGGCGAAGACGCTCGAGGAGCATCCCGGAGCATCGAGCCAGCATTGAGCGCACGGAGCCGAAGAGCGCACGGGGAGTGGACGTCCGAGAGATGGCGAGTTCTCCAGGGATGAGTCGTTCCAGAGCGCTCCGGGGAAGGCTCTCGGAGCGCTCTGGGACGCTCTTAAAGGGCCGCTGCGCCCGACACTCGGTACGATCGAAAAGGGTAAGCAAAGACTGCGCACGAAGGCCGACAGCAGTCCTTGTCCGTCTTGAGCAGGAATCGCTGTCAGTGTCGCCGTGGACGGTGCCCATTTGAGAGAGAAGGCCGCGTGCCCAGCAGCGGCCGGTGCTGGTTTTGGCCATCACGTGTTGTTGGGCATTGTGCCCATTTTCTCCGTACCCATGTCGGGCGTTCAAAGACGCATCCTCCAGACCCGTCGTATCTCGGAGATCCTCGATGTATGCCTGTCCGTCGTTGTCCCTGTCCTGGCTTCGTCTTACCCTCCTTGGACTCTCGCCTCCCATGGCGAGGCTCGGCACCCCTTGGCAACGGGGCCATCGGCAGAGAGAGCGCAGATCGAGGTGCACGCTCGCAGGCCCGAAGAGCTCGGCGAGGCTTAACTGATTCGTCTTTGGCCCTGGGAATCCTCCTCCCCAACCCCCCTTTCCTTTCCCCTCCTCCCCTTCCTCTTCCTCGTCCTTCATCCTCCTCCTCCTCTCCCCTGTTGCCTCCTCGTCATGTCATTTCCTTTTCGGACAGGCCCCTCAGGAGGGACTGAATTCCAAAGACTAAAATCCAAAGCATAGTCACAAAGTTTGCCTACACTCGAGCGCATCAGCGCTAAACTACAATCCTCTTCCTCCTTCTCCTGTTCATGCTGCTGCTGCTCCTCATCCTCCCGATACCCACTCCCTTTTCCCGCGTCCTCTCTTTTTTAAAAGTGTTGGTGATGCTTGGGAAAATATCATTCCACCTCACCCGCCTCGTCCCTCCTCCTCCTCCTCCTCCTCCTCCTCCTCCTCCTCCTCCTCTTCCTCTTCCTCCTCCTCCTCCTTCTCCTCCTCCTCCTCCTCCTCCGCGTCCTCTTCTCCGCCCCCTCCCCACGCGGCGCACATCCCGCACAAGAGGCCGAAATGCCGCTCTCGCCTCGGCGCCGCTCTCCTCTCTCCAGAGAGGTGGGCTCCCGCCTGGACGCGGCGCACACCCTTCGCGCGCAGCTTCGGCGACGCGCGAGCGGACAGAGACGCCGCTCCCGTCTCGGCGCCGCGCAGATTTCGCCTGAAAGTGGCGCTCCCCCCCCCCGAAGAAGCGCTAGCTTAGTTGCCTCGATGCGCGCGTTCTGAAACGCAGCACGTCCCGTGTTCAAGACGTCCGTATCAATACGTTGCGTCTTGGTTCCACGTATTGGACCACGTATCAACACGCTGAGCCCCGTATCAATACGTTGCTTACGTGCTGAGCCCCGTATCAACACGCTACGTGCTGCGTGTTGCGTCTCGGGGCAGCCTAAGAGCGCTGGCTCTCACTCGCCATTTTTTTGGGGGGGGCGCGCCGCGCAGAGTTCGCCTGAAATTGGCGCTCTCCCCCCCCCCCGAAGCAGCGCTAGCCTTCACCCGCCAGTTTGGGGGGGGGGGCGCGAGTGAGCGACGCGCCGCCCTCTCGCGCCCAAAGCTGCGTGCCAAGTCGCTCGGCGGTGGTGCTCCCGCGCGGGCGCAGAACGGTCCGCCAGATCGTCCGGAGGCGGCAGCGGCGGCGGGCCCACGGCCGCGGAGTGGAGGCATCGGGCGGGCTCCACGCACCAGGGGGGTGTCCCACGCTGTGCTAGGGGGCCGCGTGCGGGCCCTACCCCTACCCCCCACGATTTCTGAGGGGGGGGGGTGGGGTTCACTTCGCTCGGGAGCTCCCGAACGAAGTGAACCCCACCCTCCCCCTCGAAAATCGTGGGGGGTAGGGGTAGGGTTCGCATGTGGCCCCCTATGTGCGCGCGCCAGCGCATGACAAGGAAACACGCGAAAGCAAGCGTGCGAAGGGCAACCCTGGAAGGCGAGCTGGCCCAGCCGCGCGCCAGAGCGGGCCACATGCCCACCTCGCCAACTCGCCGCGCGCTCTGCGGGTGGAAGTGGCAGCGCTGTCTCAGCGCGGTGCATGCTTCGTCTTCGCCGTGCCCAGCGTTTTTTTCGCGCGCGAGCGCCTTCCGTTTGCGAGGTGGGAAGCGCACTACAATCCCAATACCAATAAGCGCCACACTTGATTCTTAGGTTGCGGGGGGGAGAGGCGGGGGGGTAGACGTTTTTTGTTTTTTCCCCACATCCTGAGTGGGGTTCTTGTTTTCCCAGAACACCCTCTCCTTCCCACCCACCTCCCGCTCCATCTTCCATACAGCACAATATTGTTCCTACCACACACACACCATACCATACCATAGTTCCTACCACACATACCATACCATACCATACCACACCATACGTACCATACCGTACCATACCATACCATGGCGTACCATAGCATACCATACCATATCACACCAATGCCACACCGTACCATACCATACCATACCTCCAGTACCATACCATACCATATCATACCATACCGTACCATACCATACCTACCATACCATTCCATACCACTCCATACCGACAACCATACTATTTACATGGTTTCGTGCCCCTCCCACCCCTTCAGGGAGGCCCCGCCTGAGCGAGGAGGGTATCGGAAAACCATACTATTTACATGCTTTCGTGCCCCTCCCACCCCTCCAGGGGGGGCCCAGCCTGAGCGAGGAGGGTATCGGAAAACCATACTATTTACATGGTTTCGTGCCCCTCCCACCCCTGCAGGGAGGCCCCGCCTGAGCGAGGAGGGTATCGGAAAACCATACTATTTACATGGTTTCGTGCCCCTCCCGCACCTCCACGGAGGCCCCGCCTGAGCGAGGAGGGTATCCGAAAACCATACTATTATATGGTTTCGTGCCCCTCCCACCCCTCCAGGGAGGCCCCGCCTGAGCGAGGAGGGTATCGGAAAACCATACTATTTACATTGTTTTTTGCCCCTCCCACACCTCCAGGGAGGCCCCGCCTGAGCGAGAAGGGTATCGGAAAACCATACTATGTACATGGTTTCGTGCCCTTCCCACCTCTCCAGGGAGGCCCCGCCTGAGCGAGGAGGGTATCCGAAAACCATACTATTTACATGGTTTCGTGCCCTTCACACACCTCCAGGGAGGCCCCGCCTGAGCGAGGAGGGTATCGGACAACCATACTATTTACATGGTTTCGTGCCCCTCCCACCCCTGCAGGGAGGCCCAGCCTGAGCGAGGAGGGTATCGGAAAACCATACTATTTACATGGTTTCGTGCCCCTCCCACCCTCCAGGAGGCCCCGCCTGAGCGAGGAGGGTATCGAAAACCATACTATTTACATGGTTTCGTGCCCCTCCCACCCCTCCAGGGAGGCCCCGCCTGAGCGAGGAGGGTATCGGAAAACAATACTATTTACATGGTTTCGTGCCCCTCCCACCCCTCCAGGGAGGCCCCGCCTGAGCGAGGAGGGTATCGGAAACCATACTATTTACATGGTTTCGTGCCCCTCCCACCCCTCCAGGGAGGCCCCGCCTGAGCGAGGAGGGTATCGGAAAACCATACTATTTACATGGTTTCGTGCCCCTCCCACCCCTCCAGGGAGGCCCCGCCTGAGCGAGGAGGGTATCCGAAAACCATACTATTTACATGGTTTCGTGCCCCATCCCACCTCTCCAGGGAGGCAAGACCATACTATTTACATGGTTTCGTGCCCCTCCCACACCTCCAGGGAGGCCCCGCCTGAGCGAGGAGGGTATCCGAAAACCATACTATTTACATGGTTTCGTGCCCCTCCCACCTCTCCAGCGGGGCCCCGCCAAAGCGAGGAGGGCATCAAGAAAATGGGTCCCACGAAACCGTTAATCTCTTTATGTGGGGAACTCCGTTAGCATAATTTTTTCTGACTCGCTCGACGTGGCAAATGTGTCTCCTACACTCTGCCTTCTCCTCCTCCTGCTGCTGTTGCTGTTCCTCCTCCTCCTCCTCCTCCCTCTCCTCATCCTCCTCCTGTTGCTGGACGGGGACGGAGGCAGAATCGAACGGGCCCACGCCAGAAGCCACCAAGTGATGCGCCTCCGATTAGTATTATGTCGGGTGTGTGCTAGGTACGCCACGCATCGATGGATAGGTCCCTCGGAGGATCAGTGGGCGTCGTACCCTATGTTGCAAGGTAAACACCCCACCACGAACATGCCATTTTGATCTGACCCACCCAATACCGCCTAGGATAGGCCTGGGGTGAGGGAGGCGGTCTCCTCTCGGGTAGGTTGGATCCCCGCAGCGGTCCTTCCTCACCTTGCTGCGCGAATCCTCGCGGCTGCTCCTCCTCCTCCTCCTCCTCCTCCTCCTCCTCCTCCTCCTCCTCCTCCTCCCTCCTCCTCCTCCCTCCTCCTCCTCCTCCTCCCGGGGGGGGGGGAGGGCCGTCCCGCCCAGGTTTGCGCTGGCCCCCGGACGCTGCTGCTGCCCCCGCGTGAGGCCGGGCGTCGGGTGTTCTGCCGTCGGGAGCGGTGGGCGGGCGGGCAAGGAGGGAGAACAGGGGAGGGAGGGAGGAGGGCGGGGAGGGCGGGGAGGGAGGGAGGAGAGCGGGGGAGGAGGAGGAGAAGGAAGAGGAGAAGGAAGAGGCGAAGGAGGAGAAGGATCATAAGAAAGGGGAGGAGGGAGCCGGAGATGGAGGAGGAGGAGGAGGGAGGAGGAGGAGGAGGAAAGAGGAGGAGGAGGAGGAGGAGGAGGGAGGAGGAGGAGGAGGAGGAGGAGGGGAGGAGGACGTAAAGAACGAGGCACAAGGGGGATAGCAGGAGGGAGGAGGAGGAGGAGGAGGAGGAGGAGGAGGAGGAGAAGGAACAGAAGAAGGAGGAGGACCAGAAACAGGAGGAGGAGGACGACGACGAGGAGTAGGAGCAGGAACAGGAGGAGGAAGAGGAGGAGGACGAGGCGGAGGAGGAGGATGAAGAGGGGGAGAAGGAGGAACATGAGGAGGACCAGGAGGAGGACGATGAGGAGGAAGAGGAGGGGGAGGCAGGAGGGGGAGGCAGGAGGAGGAGGAAGAGGAAGTGGGATAAAGGGAGGGAGGGAGTAGGAGGAGGAGGAGCGTGGATGATGGAGGAAGGGAGGAAGGGAGGATGAAGGGAGGGAGGGGAGAGCAGGAGCAGCACGGGCGGTAAGGGGCATTATGAAGGTGATGGTGATGATGATGTTCTATGTTGATGAGGATGATGAGGAGGATGACGACGATGGCGATGACGATGTTGATGCTGACGATGGCGGTGACAGGTAACGCCGACGATGACGATGTCGAGGAAGGTAAGGTTGTTGATACCGATGATGATGATGATGGTGGTGGTGATGGTGACGATGTTGATAAAGATGGTGATGATGGTGATGGTATTGGTGATGATGATGCTGATAATGATGGTGATGATGCTGATGATGATGATGATGATGATGTTGTTGATGGTGATGCTGATGATAAAAAATGTAAGCGATGAGGATGCTGATGCCGATGAGGACGATGATGCTGCCATCCGTCGATGGCGAGAATGATGACGATGAGGATGGTGATGCTGATGTTTGCGAGCTCGACGGCGGTGTTGGTGGCGATGTTGATTAGATGGAGGGGGGGAGGCGGGATGGGGAAATGCGGGAGGGGATAGGAGAAGGAGGAGTTTTAGGAACACGTGGGGACGAAAAAGGCACGCAGACCGGGAGGGATGTGGAGGAGAGTGTCCAGGGACCAAGTTTGCTCTGTTTGTGGCCACCAACGGCGCTTGCGAATCCTGAAGGCCCCATACAGAAGATGCGGAAGAGGAAGAGAAGGAGCCGGAGGAGCAAGAGGAGAAGGATGACGATGATGATCTACATAAGAATGACGAGAGTGGTGAAGGAGGTGACGGATGAAGAGGAGAGGACAAGGAGGACCAGTGCCAACCCAAGACTCACCAACGGCACTGCAATAAACCCTTCATCAAGGTTCCCTCTCCGCAGGCCCCATGCGAGGGTTAATTGTCATTGATGTAAGTGTCCCTTTGATCATCTCAAACTGTGCTAGAGCACCTGTCCTGAGACTTCAGCGCCCCGAATCACCGTGAATGTTGCGTCTTGACACGATTCTGAATCGTGTCAGGACACTACTCCTGGGACTTCAACGCCGCAAATCCACGTGACTGCTGCGCCCTGGCATTCCGACATCGTACCAACACATCGTTCCTGGGACATTAACCATAAGAATCGTTGAAGCTGGTGTATACTCTTAAGACGAATGTGTGCGGCGCTAAGGCGAGACCGCCCTTCATCCGTGAAGCGTTTGCAAACGTTTAAACCGAATGTGCGTGGCGCTAAGGCGAGAGCCACATTTTGTAACCGGACCGCCCTCCACCCGCGAACGTCTTGCAATTTGTTGGCACGAATTCTGCGCGGCGCCAGAAGCGACAGCCGCATTCTGGAAAGGGAATCGCCCCCCCATCTTTGAAGATGTTGCAGGCATTTCAAGCGAATGCGCGCGGCGCTAAGGCGAGAGCCACATTTTTTCCAACGCCCCCCGCCTCCATTCGTGAATGTGCTGCGAGTTCTAAGCTTCAGGGTCGTAAATGGCGATGAAGTCTCAGGCGAAACACCGGGCCCTCGCCCTCCCTTTCGACAGGCCGCGGGGTGCTACATGGAGGAGTTGTTCCTGAGGGAGAGAGATGGAGGAGGCGGTGGACCAGAGCAACGCAGGATGCATCCACGAGGCTGTAGTACACCTTCCCGTCCCAAGTCCCCTCATACGATCGGGAACGTTCGGATAGCCCGTCGTTCTGCGACATCTGGCCCACCACGCCTCGGAGCGACACGTCGTCCACCGAGTCTTCTTCCCATCGGGGCCGAGCGACACGCCATCAACTTGCAAGGCGTGACGTGTCGCCGCGGCCGCCGCCGCGACGCGTTACGAGAAAGTGCTCGACCGCAGGTCCATGCAAGCCTTCCTTCTCACCGCAAGAGGCGCCCCGTGAAAGACAACGGCCAGACAGGCCTGCCACTCAGGCGAGAGCCCTGCTTGGAAGAGGAGCCGCCCTGCATCCGCGCAGCTGCGGCACCATACCACATGCTCTGGCAATATAGAGCTTGTGGAGGTCTCAAGTGTGAGCCCTGAAGCATCCTCCACAGGATCAAATGTTACATCTGTGCATGCTTCTGGTCGCTAATTGTGGGGGAGTCTCTCAAGCGAGGGCCCCATTGTGAACATGAACCGTTCTCCACCCGTACATGTGCTGCAAGTTCTGAAAAGGAATGCGCGCCGCTCAAAAGCGAGGGCCGCATTTGGGAAACGAGCCCGCCCTCCACCCGTACGACGGTTGTGAGTTTTTGTCGGAGCCAATATATTCAGCGCTACATCGAAAGCTTCTTTTCAAGGAACATTGGCATTCGAGGAAGCATCGAGGATGAATGAGCGCATCGCCAAGACAGGAGCCCAAGACGTCCTTCAGTCGCTCAGCGAGAGCCGCCGTCTGGAAACGAACCTGCTTTCCATGTTAATAACGGCGATAAGTGGTATTACACACGAGTTTGCACGGCGATCAGGCGATAGCCCCATTTGGGAAACGGCCCCACCCTCCATTGTCATAATTGTTGAACGCTTTACAGGAGAACATGCGCCGCGCTGAGGCGAGGGCCATATTTAAAAACAGCCAGCCCTTGTCCCTTCTAGTTGTAGGAAGCGTGTAAAGCTAGTGTGCGTGGCGCTCAGGCGAGAGCCGCACATTGAAAATGACCAGCCCTCCAGTTTGTAGATGTTGAATGTTTAGCTTCATGATAGTTTGTTGCCCCCCCAAAAAAGCGAAACGTCTAACCCACGGGGGGTAGAAATAAGCAAGAGCAATGGAGGAGGAAACGGACAACGATGAAGAAGGAGAAGGAAGCGGAAGAGATGAATATGAGGAGAAGGGGATGGAGGCACGCACCCGTGCGAGCGGAAAGCTGATTCGGGTGAGTTGGCACAAAGGCGTTTCGAAGTGCACCACAGCTGAAGCCGACTCCAGACCTGAAGTGCCTAGGAAAGAAAATGGCCCACCCTGCACGCTCAGCCAACAGCACATCGTGGAGCGTTGCTGCAGGCCCCCGGAGCACAGGCCCCCCCACCGGAGCGCAAGCCAGACAAGTTGGGTTTGCACTCTCATGTGTCGGGGGTGGACAGACCTCCTACCCTGACACGTCGATTAAGGAATTGGCCGTTTTCGGTTCGCGAGAGGACGTCGCGGCCGTCCTTTTTGCTGGTCCAAATCCGTCGGTTTCGGTCCCAGGCCGTTTTCACTAAGGGAAGGTTTACCAAAGGGAGGTTTGTCCACCGCCGAAAGTGTTTCGGCACTGGCACTGGCGCCACCACCCTCACCAAAGCCACCAACCCAGGCGACGGTGAAAGGGACAGTGGCGTGGCCGACGCGTGCAAGCCTGGCGGCCTGCAAAGCCAGATTGTGAGAAGTACCGTACCGTACCGGGGCGGGACGATGTTTCGGTATTTTGGTTGATTCGTTTATGGCTGAATATTTAGCTTTGGAGTGGTCTCTCGATGTTATATTCACGACTATCTTGGAGGGCTGAGCACAGAGCGGGCAGTGGGCAGGGAGGATGTGCGTTCGACGCATTGTCCGTAGCTGAAGAAGAAGAAGAAGAAGAACAGCAGCAGCAGGAGGTGGAGACAGTACCGACGGGGGGAGCAGCACAATACAACACAGGCGCGACGAGCGATGGAGGCACGAACGTGCGATCTCAGAGTTCGCTCGGGTGAGCTGGCCCGAGGAGGAGGAGGCAGAGGAGGAAGTAGAAGAAGTCGAGGACCAAGAGGAATGAGTGAGCGTGTTAGAACAGTTGCGAAACGATGGTTCGACAATACACGCCTCCGCCCTGAGCTTGTCGAAGAAGCCGGCGAACAGGAAGGAGACGCACTTCAACCCGTACAGCCAACGTTAAAAGGACCACAACACAACGAACGAACCATTGCATGTTCACCCCCTTCAATACAACCAACCGAATAGTGTGGATGTTGATGTACTGAAATGAGTCAGCTCCTAGAGCCACGCTCCAGCGAAACTGCCGCTGGCCGAGTGGGTCTCAGATGGGCTCGGAGCGCCCATGCCCACCAGTTGCATGCCGATGAAGGAATCCAATAATAGCATCACGACGAACATAACCGCGAGCCGCCGCCCGAGTGGGACTTCGATGGGCTCGAGGGCCCCCGTGCCCCTCGGTACGGATGGGATGCCGATGGAGATTTTCGGGAAAGTGCGAAAACTGGAATCCAACCTTGTGATAACTGGAATGTGCCACATCTTGCCATCACACACCGAGAGCAACTGTCTTACGAATAATAATGTGGTGGGAGCCCCCCAAGCGACACGAGAAGGCAATGGGCTGGGCGCCCCGTTGCGAGCTCGAGCCCAACTGGGTAGGATGCCTTGGGCCACCCGTGCTTGAGTCAGGACCAGGAGGAGGAGGGGGAGGAAGAGGAGGAGGAGGAGGAGGAGGAGAAGGAGGAGGACGAGGACGAGGAGGAGGAGAAGGAGGAGCAGGCGAGGGCCCTCTTGGTGGGATTGAGGGTTGTGCCCTGTGGGGGTCCTGCGGACTGGGGAGGGGCCCTTGCGCCATGCAACCTTTGGCAAGCGTGGCCACGGCCACACTCGCGGCAACAGCGCCAGCTTCCAGCAACCGACAGAACTACTGCGGCACAGCCCCACGATCTCTTCTCTCCTCGCGTTATCAGATTCCTCTCGCTTCGCGGGGTGCGCGTTCGGATTGCGGAGAGTGCGGGCGTTATGGGAAGATGTTTGCCTTTTTTGTGTTGGATAGGCATCGATTTCATGAGATTCGGCTGACTTTTGAGAGCGCCCCAGGCCGTCTTCGGGCGCGGTAGGGTCGCATGGATCCGTGGAGAGCCGTCTTGGGGACCACTCTGTGCCCAGCTATGCAGCGAAGCGAACGAGTCAGAGCAAGAGGTGCGCTGGACCTCGCCGCGTGCGTCGAGCTAGTGGCAGCATCTCAGCGTTCGGTCGGCTGACCGCCTGCAGAAGCTCGGGGGGGGGGGATCGGAGGTTGGGGGGCGAGATCGCAGTGGAACGGAGACCCCCAACCAGGAAATCATTTCGTTTCGTTCGTGTCGTGCGTGCGGGCGAAGCGAAGCTGCGCGGGCGCGCGCGAGGATTGAACCCACCGTTGCCAGGGCGAGGTCAAGACAAATGATTATCCCCCTCCTGCCCGTCCAGCGGTGGCCCCGTGGGGTCCCGTGGGGTCCTATGGTGTCCCGTTGAGTGAGATCGATAGTGAGATCTATAGCGCGACCGGTAGTAAGATCGAGAGGTGTTCCGCGGTGTCCCGTGGTGGCCCGTGGTGTCAGGTGGTGCCCCGTTGAGCGATATCGATAGTGAGATCGATAGTGAGATCGGCAAGTGCCCCGTGGTGTCCCGTAGTGTCCCGTTGATTGAGATCGATAGCGAGATTGATTGAGTCAGATGTTTGTTGCCCCCCTCTCCCTTCCCACAACCTCCTTATCACCCGAAGGGTGGTCGTACACATAAAAGTATCAATGTCACGCCGCCGCGTGGGCCCAGCCAGCGCGTCACTGTCGATCTGCGTCGTCTTTTCGGGGGAGAAGCGAGGGATCATCACGCCGTTGACGCCCTCGATCACCCCGCGGCAGCGTGACATTGATACCCCCCCCGACAAGCGTCGCACATGCACGGAGGACCAGCTTGCGGAGCTGTTTAATGAAGTTTGCTACACGATGCGCAAAGGCGTTGTCGGGCGCCTTGGCGAAGCTCTTTGGTTTTTTGGAAGGCTTTTTGGGGGCCTCGTGGGGCCATGTCGGTCCGTTTGGTTTTTTTTTGCGTGTGTCGAGCCCGTCGAACCCCTCCTGAGGCCGTTTTGGAGCTTCACGCGGCCACCGTCGTCTTGGGCCGTCTTGGGGACTGTCTTTGGTCCCTCCGGGGCGGTCATGGGCCCCCTTTCGGGATTTCTTGGGCCTTCTTGGGGCAATGTTGGCCGTTGCTTTGGCCGTCGTGGGGTTTTGAAAGTCGGAGCAGGCGAGAACGCTAAACCTTTTTTGCAGTTAAAAATGGAAGATCCCGATTTGGGGCCTCTGGCGGCGCTGTTGCGGGCGTTATTTGGGCCCTGTTGGGCCGTCTCGATGGCGTCATAAGCCCTGGAGGGGCCATCTTGGGCTGTCTCGGGGCCGGCCCGGCCCGGACAGGCCCGAGGCCGTGCCGGTCAATTTTGCAGGTCCCTCGGGTCCCCCAAAGGCCCAAATCGCCGACCTCCTTTAGTTTTATAGAAGGTATCGAAAACCTGGGAAGGGGGGGTCGCTGTGGAAGGGCGTGACACCAGGGGGGTTCGTGGGGAGACATAACAAATAATGTAACAGAATGCACGATATAGCAATTCTGCCATCATTTGATACACTGGATACACTGCATCACAGCATCCGCAGAAAACGCTACCGCTCAGCACTTCACCTCCAAACGTGGATTCAGAGTTCAAGAGGCTTACGTCATTCCGCCGACCACGGACTGGGCCAGACCACCTAAAGGTCAGCCGTTGTGGGGACATTTGGGATCCTCTTTAGGGCCTCTTGGAGGCGTCTCTAGGGCCTCTTGGGGCCTCAAGGGGGCTTCCTTGGGGCCTCTTGGGGTGCTCTTTCGCCGTTTGGTCTCGTCAAAAACCGTTTTTGCGTGGCCTCTTCCCGTGTCAGAAGGGGCGATGAAGGAAACGAGGCGGTTCTTAGGGGGGGATCGTGTCTGAACCCCCTCTTGGGCCGTCTTGAGGGGGTTTTGGAACGTCTAGGGGGCCTGTTTGGGCCATGTAGGTGCGCAGTCTTGTGGCCTTCTTGGGCCGTATGGGGGCTGTTTTGGAGGCTGCTTCGGCTGCGGTGGCCCTCGAGAGCCGAATCGCGTTATCATGTTCAAGTGGCTTACGCCATTCCGCCGACCCCAACCAGGAGTGTTTGAGACGATCGTGGAAGCTATGCCTTGGGATGCCTCTCTGGGGTCTCTTGGGGAAATCTGAGGGTCATCTGGGAGACTTGTGGGGGCCTCGTGGGGGCTTCTGGTTTTTGTTGGGGGGGGCGTCTTGGAGGCCTCTTGGGGACTCTTGGAGGGGCCTCGGGGGCCTCTGGGCGGCTCGAGGGGCCATCTTGGTGGGAAAGGCTCGAAATATAAGTTCGTCTTCCACCTCTTGGGTTTTCTTGGAGCCCTCGTGGGGCCCTCCAGGGCCCACTGGGGGCCACTTGGGCCGTCGTGTTCGTTGCCGAAACGTAAACATGCGAATGTGCTGAACATGTACGCTATCCCACGGGAATGGGATGAGTTTGGCGTCTTGAGGCCCTTTCGAAGATCCTCTGGAGGCGCTTTTGGGCTGTCTTGGGGGGCCATCGTGAAGCCACTTTGGATCGTCGTGGGGCTACCCTGGGCCTTCATGACGCTCTCTTCGACTGTCTTGGCGCTCTGTCTGGGCCCTGCTGGGCTGTATTGGGGCTTTTTGGGGACTCCGAAGGCCCTGGGGGTGCGTTGACGTTCTCGTGCCCCCCACCCCACCCCCCCCACCTTGAATGGCATTTTGGACCCCAGGGGAGGGGGAAAGGGGAGGGGGACAGCCAAATGTTTCGCATGCCTTTTCGCCCCTGGCGAGCGGCGGATTGTTGCGGTTGCCTCTCCTTCCTCCTTCCCCCCCCCACCCGCTTGTTGGCCGCTGAGAGGCTTAGACACTTCGCCACCAGAGGGGGCCTGCCACTGCCATTGTCGCGTTTCCTCCTGTTTGTGACAGCTTCCCGCAGGGGCGGCCGCCCCCTGGGGAGGGGGCGGCCCCTTTCGAAGCGAACCCCGAGGACGACAGCGGCAGCGACAGCGGCAGAAGGAGGCGCTGGAGGAGGAGGGGGTAGAGGAGGACGTGGAAGAGGGGAAGCTGGAAGAGGAAGGACGTGACGGTGAGGCGAGCGAGATGAAGGAAGGGGACGGGCGCCCTGAGAGGCCCTCCAGCAGCCGGGCATCATAGACGGCCGGACCCAGGCAGCTTCTGCGCCCGCGCATCACCCCTCCTCCTACTCCTCCTCCTCCTCCTCCTCCTCCTCCTCCTCCTCCTCCTCCTGCTCCTCCTCCTCCTCCTCCTCGTCCTCCTCCTCCTCCTCCTGCTCCTCCTCCTCCTCCTCCTTCTCCTAGTCGGCGTGCGGCTTGCAGCAAGCGCGTGCGACATGCAGGAAGGGTACCGAATCTCCTTTTAGTTCTCTGGGGCCCATCTCTCTGCCATCGGACCTCGGGGGGGCGGAGGCACGCATACACGTGTCAGGGAACTTTCGTCTCGCGCCGCCGATCATCTGTGCGACTTGGGAGAAGGTTTGACCCACAGCATAGCATAGGCTGTTGCTGTAGTAGCTGCCGTAGTGCCTGGGCACGATGTGGTCGCGGCAGGAATGCTCGTAGAGATGGGAGCGTGCCTCCACCAGGAGGCGAAAGCTGAGCGACAGAGGAGGAAAGAAAAAAAAGTGTGCGACCCGGGAGAAGGAGAACACGACAGCCATCGGGCCTCGGGGGGGGGGCGGAGGCACGCATACCCGTGTCGGGGAACTTCCGTCTCGTGCCGCCAATCACTTGTGCGACCCGGGGGAAGGCGAACACGACAGCCTCTCGTCGAGGCGCCGCAGGCGCACTCGTCGCACGCAGGCCCGGCATGCGCAGCCCGCCAGTGTTGAGTTGGTTGAGCTTGCTCCTTGTCCGGTGCGGGAGCAAGCAGGGGAATTGGCATACCACGTGCAAGAGGTCGACGTTCTGCTTCGGCCGCCAGGATCGGGCCGAACGAAAGGGGGGGATCGGGAAAGGGGGGGTACGAAATCTGCTGCGTGCAGCTGGTTTCGTCCCCACCGAGGGGCCCATTCCTCGATACATGGCCGCCTCCCGGCGCCGGGAGCGCCGCCGGGAAAATCAGCTACGTGAGCTGATTCTCACCCCCCCCCCTTTGCTACCCCCCCCTGACATTGGTATTGCTCCCAGCGGAGTTCGAGCTGGAAGAAACGAGTTCTCAGCAGCCAGGCGTGCTGGAAGAATATATCATGGAACTCGCGGGAAAAAGCCTGTCGATGAATATGGAAGGCATGTAGACATTGATGTTTTCAGACATTGGAAGGATACTACGATAGTTGCACTCAAAGTGAGAGAAACCTTGACATGCAGTTGTTGTTGCTGAAAGGAAAGCTATTGCACACGGAAGCAGATGAGGTTTTGCACGTTTTCCCAGCACCTGAAAAGCAAAAACTTGTTGCGCGGCATGGGGAACAACCGAAAGGTGACCGGAAGGGCAATTCACACATTGTATGTTATATTGGCCGAAGGCGATGAGATAACATTTGAAAGCTTGTGTTGCAGAATAGAGTTCCCATGCGAAGAAAAGGAAGTGCGTGATGCCATTTCTGCATGGATCGCGGTTGGCGTATTGCAGATTATTGGGGATCGTTATAATGACACCGTTGATGCTGCAATATCAGATCGCTCATTTGCTTCTTAACGCACGCAAGGAAAATGTTGATAACAGATGACGTTGCTGACCAGGCGTCCGCGGGAAGAAAATAACAAGTTCAGGCTGTTGGCCTGCCGCGCGTTTGGCGCGTCGGAGCGCAAACACTCTCGGGCTGATAAGTGTAAAGCAGCAGTGCGCTGCATCTCCCTTTCAGCGTTGAGTGGTGGGCAGGGGAGGGAGCTGGGGGATGGGGGGGGGATGTGCAGAGTCCTGACTGAGCGAGTCCCCAAAGGGGCTGGGTTTCTCCCCGCAGAGCGGCTGTGGGCCGCGATGTTATCGCCGTGGGGGTGGAGGTGGGGGGAGGGAGTCTCGAACGGCACCCGAGTGCCGCCGGTGGACGAAGGCGAGGACGCCACCCACACCCGCTGGGTGGAGGTTCTTGGCAGCATGGTCAGGACCCCTAGCATCCAAATCTTACGCAGGGGCTTTCAAGTGGAGTCGGGATTTGGACCTTATCCCCCAAGCGCTTTTACCTTTGTACCTCCTCCTCCCCCTCCTCCTCCTCCTCATCCTCCTCCTCCGTTTCATCCTCCCCCTCCTCCCTCGCGATGTTCACCGGCCCCCGTTTCCTGCCTCGCCCCCCCCCCCTGTTCCTGCCTCGCACCCCCAGAAAATTCCGACATTGCGTTTTACCCGCAACATTAAGCCGCAGAGCTCTCGGCCTTTTCCCCAGGACCAGAGTCCCATCCGATTTTTTTGTTGGTGGTCCAGGGGTCAATTGAGTGACCTTGGAAGCCGAAAGTTGCCCAAGTTTGGTTCGCGCCTTTTCGGCGCAACGCGAGGGGGTCTGGGCCTTCCCTGTCCGGAGAGGGAGCGGGAGGATACAGTCAGCGCGAGAGGCGGCAGGGGGAGTGATGAGGCCGTGCCCCGCGTAGCTCATCGAGCCGCCGTCCGTCATAGTGCTTCTGGTTGTTGTGACCACGACGTAATCTGGCACGCTTCGGGCAGGCCCCGTGCCTGGTACCAGAAGCCGAACGGCGAAGTAGGCCATCCAATTGTAGGAAAGCGCGGTTCGTGGCCAAACCACTTGTAGGAACGCGTGGTTCGTGCTTTCCTGCAACTCGCTGCGGCGTTCTCGTTTGGCACATCTGCGCATTTGCAAATGTAGGACACGGCCTTTCGAGATTTCCTGCATCTTGTTCTTCGTGAGCTCGGTGTCTTTTCTTATTTATTTATTTATTGTTTTATTTATGTATTTATTTTTTATGTATTTATTTATTTATTTATTTATTTATTTATTGATTTATTTATGTATTTATTTTTTATTTATTTATTTATTTATTTATTTATTTATTTATTTATTTATTTTATGTATTTATTTATGTATTTATTTATTTATTTATTTGTTTATTTATATATATATATGTACCGTTAACCGAGCACGCCGTTAGCGCGGCCCTTGGGGCCGGGAGGAGCCGAGCCAAGGCGCTCCGGGAGGGAGCCCGGGGGCCGCGGGCGGCACGCCGCCGTCGGGAGCCTGGCCGCGGGCTGCTCCGTGCGCGTGCCTGCCCGGAGGCCTGGCGCTGCCCCAGCGGCAACATTCACCTCCTCCCCCTCCCCCTCCTCCTCCTCCTCCTCCTCCTCCTCTTCCTCCTCTCCTCCTCCTCCTCCTCCTCCTCCTCCTCCTCCCTCCTCCTCCTCCTCTCCCCTCCTCCTCCTCCTCCTCCTCCTCCTCCTCCTCCTCCCCCTCCTCCTCCTCCTCCTCCTCCTCCTCCTCCTCCTCCTCCTCCTCCAACCCAACCGAAGATTTCAGAATCAAATCCCATGGCATTTGAAAGATATCAATTGGAATTGGAGTTGGGCTGGTAGTTCCAGTCCGCAGCGAAGTCGCAAACGATACAGGCTTGAGTTGTCGCCAGGAAGAGGTATCTAGAAGGATTGGGGGGGAGGTGAGAAGGAGAAGGCCTTCTCAGAAGGCGGCCGGACTTCTCAGAAGCCCTTGCGCCCTCTGAGAAGTTCTTGTCTGTCTGCGGGGAAGGCTCAGAAACCTTCGCAGAAGGCCAGGGGGCTTCCGAGACTTCTGAGAAGGCCCGCCCCTTCTCACGTCCCCCCCTCGCTCGCCGCCTACTCACGGGAGGAGAGGCTACCCGGACCCGACAATGAGCGTTGACTAAACGGCCTTGGGCATTTACTGAACCGCCCTGCCCTGTTTGCTTCCTTCTCTGGGCGCGTTCACTAAAGGACTTCGCGTGTTGGGGCGGCCACTATTGTCACCATCTACCAATCCACCCCAACCCAACCCGAAGGGCCCGATTTGCCCTCCATTTCCAGTGGGGGGGGGTCGGGGGACACTGAAAAACACATGGAACCCGTACCCCCCCAACCCGAAATTCGGGTCTTCGGGTTGGGTTGGGGTGGTCATGTAGGTAGATATGTTGGGGTGGATGTTCTGCCCCCCCCCCACACACCCGCGGGTTCCCCACAGCAGCGTGTCGTTGAGATGGCCTCCGCTGCAGCTCCGCAGCAGTACCTCTGCCTCTTCATGCACATACCGCCCTGCCGCCGGCCAGCTGGACGCCACTACGGGCGCGAGGCTCCAGGAAACGAGGCCTCCGGCCTCACATGGAGGGCGGTTCGTTGCCGAAGTGTGTGTTCTCGCTTCAGCGCCGCGCACACTCGTGATCTTAAGAGCTCGCAGCAGCTCGAAGGCCGGAGGGCGGGCCGCCGTTTTCAGAATGCGGTTCTCGCTTTGGCACCGCGCACCGTTGCTTTAGATTCGGAGGTCGATCGACTTCTTACCCCGACACGACGATTAGAGAATTGGCCGTTTTCGGTTCGCGAAAGGGCGTCGCGGCTGTCATTTTGGCGGGTCCAGGTCCGTCGGTTTCGGTCTTAGGCCGTTTTCACTAAAGGGTGGTTTACTAGAGGGAGGTTTGCCCACCACCGATAAATCGTTGCAACAGTTTCACGGGTTGAGGGCGGCTCGTGTTCAAAGTGTGGCTCTCGCTTTCGTGCCGCGCACGCTCGTTGTTTGGAAGTTCGCAGCAGCACGAAGGTCGGAGGGCGGGCCATCTTCAGAATGCGGCTCGCACCGTGGCACCGCGCACCGTTGCTTCAAACGGTTGCAACCGCTTCACGGGTTGAGAGCGGCTCGTGTTCAAAATGCGGCTCTCGCTTTAGTGCCGCGAACGTTCGCCTTAAGGATTCGCATCAGCAGCGTCAATGATGGAGGGCGGGCCGTTGCCAAAATGTGTCTCTCGCTTCAGTTCCGCGCACATTCCTTTGAAATGCTTGCAGCAACTTCAAGGATGGAGGGCGGTTCCTGCTCAGATTGCGGCTCTCGGTTTGGAGCCGCGGACATTCGTCTGACAAGTTGACATCCGTGTCAAGGATTCGTGCGGTTGAGGTCCCGTTAACGGTGTTCTGGCACGGTTTAGGACTGCCAAGACGCAGCGGTCATGTTGATTCGCGATGCTTAAGTCCCAGGAACGTTGTTCTGGCACGGTTTAGGATTGTCAAAGCGCGACGGTCAGGTTGATACGTGGTGTTGAAGTCCCATGAGTTGTGTTTTGGCACGATCGAGAGCTTTCAGACGGTTGTCTTCCAAAGGGGCATTTCCCTCCATGAAGATCAGTTCTTGAAGAGGGAATTTAGAATGAAGGTTGCTTGCAACACTTTTGACGCGTCTTGGGTTAACAGTGGTCATCATGCCTCCTCCTCCTTCTCCTCCTCCTCTTACTCCTTATCATCGTCATCACCATCGCCATCGCCATCATCATCATCGTCGTCGTCATCATCATCATCATCATCATCATCATCATTGTCGTCATCATCATCATCATCATCATCATCATCATCATCACCATCGCCATCATCGTTGTCATCCTCATTAGTATCATCATCAGCATCCTCAGCATCATCAGCACCATCGTCATCGTCATCGTCGCCATCATCATCATCCTAATCAGCAACATCATCATCATCATCATCAGCATCGTCGTCGATGTCGTCAGCATCAGCATCAGCAGCATCATCATCAGCAACAGCATCATCATCAGTATCATCATCATCCTCATGGTCAGTATCATCAGCATGATCAGCATCATCTTCATCAGCATCATCATCATCACCATCACAATTACCATCATCAACAGCATCGTCACCATCATCCGATTGTCTTCCCGCCCTTCTGCCTCCCTTCCTCACCTCCTCCCTTCCTCTCCACCCTCCTTCCTCCATCCTCCTCCATCCTCCTCCTTCTCCTTCTCCTTCTTCTTCTTCTTTCCTCCTCCTGGTCCTCCTCCTCCTCCTCCTCCTCCTCATCATCATCATCATTCTCCTTCTCATCCTCTTTCTCCTCATCATCGTCGTCATCACCATCGCCATCATCATCATCATCATCATCATCATCATCATCATCATCATCATCATCATCATCGTCGTCATCAGCATCATCAGCATCATCACTATCATTGTCATCCTCATCATCATCATCATCATCATCATCGTTGTCATCCTGATCAGTATCAGTATCTTCAGCATCATCAGCATCATCTGCATCATCGTGATCGTCATCGTCGCCATCATCATCATCATCATCATCATCATCATCATCATCATCGTCGTCGTCGCCGTCATCGTCGTCGTCGTCAGCATCAGCATCAGCATCAGCATCAGCATCAGCATCAGCAGCATCATAGTAATCAGCATCAGCATCATCATCATGATCATCATTTTCATCATCATCAGTATCATCATCATCCTCATCATCATCATCATCATCGTCATCATCATCATTATCATAGTCATTATCTTCATCATGATCAGCATCAGCGTCATCAGCATCATCATCATCACCATCACACTTACCATCATCATCAGCATCGTCATCATCATCCGCTTGTCTTCCCGCCCTTCTGCCTCCCTTCCTCGCCTCCTCCCTTCCTCTCCACCCTTCCTCCTCCATCCTCCTCCATCCTCCTGCTCCTCCTCCTTCTTCTTCTTCTCCGTTCCTCCTCCTGGTCCTCCTCCTCCTCCTCCTCCTCCTCCTCCCTCCGTCCCTCCCTCCCTCGCCGCCCGCAGGAGGACCAGCCCTCCGACGGGGGGCTCTCGCGAGAGCCGCGGCTGCTGGAGCAGCCTGGGGCTCGGCCCGCGGCTGCCGGGCCGGCTCCGGTCGGAGGGCGCCAGCTGCCCAGAGTTCCGATCAGGAGGAGGCGGAAGTGGAGGAGGAGGGAGGGAGGAAGGAGGGAGATGGAGGGAGGAAGGAGGGAGAGCAAGGAGGATGGAGGACGTTGTCGTCGGGTCTCGGCGGTTTTCCAGCCTCGGGATGCCTTCCAGCAGCTGCGCCTCGCCGAGGGCGTTCCAGAGTTGCTGGGATCGCCCCGAATGGCCGTCGGAGAACTGATCTTTGACGCGAAAAGCACATGGCAACGCTACGCGGGATCGCCAGGGCCGCCACCAGTTCCAGCAGCAGGAGGAGGACGAGGGAGAAGGAATCGAGGAGTGACGGAGTGGAGGAGGAGGAGGAGGAGGAGGAGGAGGAGGAGGAGGAGGAGGAGGGAGGAGGGGGAGGGGGAGGAGGAGGAGGAGGAGGAGGAGGAGGAGGAGGAGGAGGAGGAGGAGGAGGAGGAGGAGAGGAGAGGAGGAGGAGGAGGAGGAGGAGGAGGGGAGGAGGGGGAGGAGGGGACAAGGTCTCCCCTCCTTCTCTTCCACCTGCGCGGTCGCCGAGGCCGCCGCCGGCAGTGGCGGGGGCGCCCCCGTGCCCGCCGGAAGCGGCCGGGAGGGGTGCGGCTCGGGAGAGCCTGCTGTCGGGCGCGACCGCCCAGGGCGGCACAGTTTTCTCTCGAGCACGTGGCGTGAATCAGAGCCCCGAATCATCAGGGGTAACTCGGGTCGGGGCTAACTCGGGTTGGCTTTTCGGGATTCCGAACCCGAGTTGCCCCGGGCCCGAGTTACCCCGGATAACTCGGGCGTCCAGAGCCCCAAATCATCAGGGGTAATTCGGGTCAGGGCTAACTCGGGTTTCTTTTTCGGGAATCCAAACCCGAGTTACCCCGGATAACTCGGGCGCCCAAGTGAAGTCGGGCATGCCCCTCTATAGGAGGAAGAGTCAAACATAGTCAAAACATGGTCTGAGGACAACAGATCCTTACTTTCATGTATTTGCTTGAAAATGCATGTGCTTTTCATTTGTCATGTAAAATCCGCCGGTAGGAGGACATGCCCGACCTAAACGTGGCGATGCAGCCCGCACATGGAATCTGCGTATAGTATCTGCGCTCCGCGCGGACTTCTTTGATCGGCGCTGGCCCCCCCTGGCGGCGCCGCCTGCGCGCCAGGGAGGGGAGTCCAGCGCCGATCCGATAATCCACGCGGAGCTCCGAAAGTAGCGCCGTGTGTTCTTCGAAGACAGCGCTGGCATTGCACACGGCAGGTCCCACAAGCGCCACAACGGGGGCCGAGGTGATTTGCCAGCCCCACAGCATGATACCCCCCTCTGCGCCCAGACGGGATCGAACATGCGGAAGCGAAGAGAAGATGGCCATCGTGGACCCCAAACAAGAATGCCTAATGCCCTCGATGTGCAATCGATGTGTTGCAGGATGCGCTCTGCCATTCGCTGCGCGGGAAAAAACTGTTTCACCCGGTATCCAGCGTGGCCGACACGAGTTGCTGTCCGTTGTGTTGCTCTGGCCGGACCTCGGGGTCCACCTCGCGGGCACGGTGAGGTTGCCATTGGTCTGTTGAGTGGGTCGGCGTCCCCACTGGTCGTGGAAACAGGCATGCGCTCTGCGCAGGGTGCAGCGTACGGGTTGTACTCCTACGCGCTGCAGCCCATGCGGCGCAAGCTGTGTAGCGCAAGCTCTGCGAGTGCCCACAGGGGGGCCCACGGGCGCCCGCCCGCGGGGCGGCCACCAACCGGGCACCACGCGAAGCCCTGGCAGGCCAGCTCGGAGCACGAGGCGCCCACGAGGCGCCCACTGGCGGCCGCCAGGGTGGGGGTCTTAGGGTCAGGGTGTTAGGGCTAGGGTTAGGGGGGTAGGGTTAGGGGGGGTTAGGGTTAGGGGGTTAGGGTTAGGGTTTAGGGCTAGGGATTGGGTGAGGGGGTTAGGGTTAGGGTTAGGGGTTAGGGTTAGGGTGTAGGGCTAGGGATTGGCGGGCGGGCGGGCGAGCGCGCGGGCGGGCGGGCGGGCGGGCACCAGACGAAGCGCTGGAAGTCCCGTCACATTGTTCAGGCGACGCAGGTGAGAAGCCCCAAGTGCAGCCACACGTTGGGCAGGAAAGGGGAGAGCTGCTTGGGGAGAGGGGCAGAAGGAAGGATGGCATGGGAAGGGGAGGAGGCGTTGAAAGAGCCAGACCGAGGGGGTGGGGGGGAGGGAAGGGGGAATGGGCGACCATGAGGGGACTTTATTTCGGGGGTTTGAACGAGCGTCCTCCGTTCTCCTCCTCCTCCTCCTCCTCCTCATCTTCCTCCTCCTCCTTCCTCCTCTCTCCTCTCCCCCAATTCCTCCTCGTCCTTCTACGACCACAACCACATACCAGACAGGGGGTGGGGACACGGTCGACCAGGGTGACGGGTACGATCGGCCAGGGGGGATACGAGCATCCGGCCCCATACCCCTCCTCCGTCCTCTTCCTTTCTCCTCCTCCTCATCTCCCTTCTCTTCCTCCCCCCCACCGTCGACGTCGGCATCCTCCTCCCCATTGTCATCCTCCTCTTGCGGTTTTAGGGAATCCTGGCCGCTCGGGTTTCGGATTCCCTTGGTCCCTGAAAGCTGATTGGAGAATTCGGACATGCTGGATTTTGGGAAAGTGGCACACGGTCTGGAGTTGTTGTACATGTTAGAATTTTTGCAAGTGCCAGAATTCTGGTGGTTTGGAGTATGCGGGATTCCTGGTCGCCTGGGCTTCGTATGTCCCGCCTTCCCTGGGGATCTTGAAAATGTTGGAACTCCTAGAATGGCGGCTTGCCTTTTTTCGACTGCTCCTCCTCCTTCTCCTCCTCCTCCTCCTCCTTGCCCTCCTCCTCCTCCTGATATTGCGAAAGTGTTGGCAATGCCCACGTTCAGAATTTCAGAAGTCGGCGGGGTGGGTGTTTCGGGATTCTTGGTCGCCCGGGTATCGGGTTTCCCGCTCCCTGGGAATTTTAACCACGTCGACAAGTAAGTCTGGAGTTCTTGAAATTCCCAAACGGTTTGGTCGTTTTTGAAATTGGTTTGGGGAAGTTCACAGTCGGGTGGTTTGGAGGTTTCGGGGTTCCTGGCCGCCTGGTTTTCGGATTTCCCGCCCTTTGTGGCAAATCTGCCAAGTGTGAATTTTGTTGAATATTCAAACGGTTTGGAAATTCGTTGGGGGGATATTTTTTGAAACAGTTCAACATTCTGGCGGTTTGGAGGGTTCGGGATTCCTGGCCGCCTTGGCTTCGGATTTCCAGCCCCGAGGAATTCCACAAAGTTACACATTTGTTGGATGTTCAAACGGCTTAAAGGCTGACAGTCTTGAAATTCATGGAAATGTCAAAACCCTGGTGGTTTGAAGTTTCCAGGTTTCCTGGTCAGTTGGTTTTCGGATTCCCGCCCTTTGGAAAATTTGAGAGTGTATAATCTGGATGTTTTCAAACGGTGTTAGATGCCCGGCAGTTGTGGCACCTTTGAACATTGTAAAGTGTTGGTGGCTTGGAGTTGTTGGAGGATCCTGATCGCCAGGGAATGTTTATATATGTTGTATGTTTGGAATTCTCAAACGGTTAGGGATGGTTTGGAAAGTTAGCAAGTCCGGTGGTTTCGATGTTTCGGGATTATTGGTCGCCTGGGTCCTCCTTCTCCTCCTCCGCCGCCTCCTCCCGCCTCTCCCCCCCTCCTGTTCCTGCTCTTCCTGCTCTTCGTGCTCCTCCACCGCCTTGTCCTTTTCCTCCTCCTCCTTCTCCTTCTGCTGCTGCTCCTCCTCCTCCCAGAGCCTCGTGGTGCCTCCTGAAACTCACTGCGCCATCCTGAGGCCCTCTGGGGCCTCTTGGGGTTTCTGAATGCCTCCAGGGACTGTCTGAGGCTTCTCGGTGAACTTGAAAACCTCCTGGGACCTCCTGCGGCTCCTCCCACCTGTTCCCCGCCCATTCTGCGCCCCTCTCTCTGTCTCTCTCTCTTTCTCTCTCTATCCCTCTGTTTCTTGTTGTATGTTTTTGTTGTTCACGCTCTCTCTCTCTCGCTCTCCCTCTTTTGTCTTTCTCTCTCTCTCTCTTTCGACGCGTTCTCGCTCTCTCTCTCTCTCTCTCTATCTCGTTTTCTCTCTCTCTCTCTCTCTTTCTCTTTCTCTCTCTCTCTCTCTCTCTGTCGCTCTCTCCCTCTTTATACATACATTTAGATATACGCACATAAATGTACCTGTGTGTGCATGTATGTATGTCTATCTCTCCCTCTCTCTCTCATTCTCTCTTTTTCTCTCTCTGTGTGTGTCTCTCGCCCTCATCCCCCTCTCTCCTTCTCACCACGGGCAATGCCTCATCACCTCTCTCCTTTCCTGGCCCTGCTGCTCTTCTCGCTTGGCACGCGTTGGCGACGCGTCGGGCTGTCGCTCCTACAGGTCAGTGGTTGATGTGCCGACGAGGCGTAGGGACTTGGGCGCTGTGCGGTTTACCACAGTTGCCGGGCACTGGTTGATGCCGTGAAACTGGCATGAGACCCCTCGTGCGATATCCATGGAACAACAGACGGAGTAAGCGCGTAGATTGTGGAGGAGGCAGGCGGGGCGCGATGGAAGAGCCCCCGTCCCCTCCACCCCCGACCAGAGGACGACAGAGGGCAGGAGCCTCAGGCACGACCGTCACATGATAGCTTTTCCGATTTTTTCCATTTCTGAGACAGGCGAAGACAACCATTGGTTTTCCCCGTTGGGCCTTCCGGGGTGGCCCACAACCATTATGTTTTGAATAGTTTGCTCTTCTGCGGTCGATTCCGATGATGTGCTTGAAGTGCCCCAGCTGCGCGGGTCCATACGAACACGTTGAAACACGTTGCGGGTTTCAATGATTCAGGACGGCCCACCGGAAACACATGGTGTCGCTGCACATTTGGAATGTACAAGTACCAATGCAAACGAACATTGATGGCGTATGCGCGCGCGGCGACGATGGCGATGGCCGCGGCCGCGACGGCAATGATGCCGGCGGCGATGGCGCCGACGGCGCTTTTGACGAAGACGACGACGATGACAACGCCGACGACACCGTCGACGACGACGACGGCGACGACAATGACGCCGGCGACGGCGGCGACGTGGACGACGGCGATCGCGACGACGGTGACATTGACGATGACGTCGGCGGTGGTGGCGACGACTGCGACGAGGACGACGACGACGACGACGACATCGACGACCTCGGCGGTATGCACGTGCACTGCATACGCAAATGCGTTTATGTGAAAGTGTACGTGCGCATGCGATGTTAGTATTTGTATAGGTATGCACGTGGTAAATTTACACATGCACAAATAACACATATGTGCTACATACTTGTTGAATATGAGTATTGGATTATATACGTGACCGTTCGATTATATATGGAAGCCAGTGCCCACCCACATCTACACACGTACGCATACGCATAAATTTGATTACGTCGAAGACGAACCCATTCCGCCCATGCGTTTGAAGCGAATCAGCCCGTGGCCGTCTGCGAGTGACCCCCGAAGACCGCGTGAAATACACGCAACAATTTCGTCGCAACAACGTCACCGTCGAACAAGAGCAGTGCTTGAGGAGGAGGGGTAAAGCAGGAGGA